CTGGTCCTCAGCACTACTAGTTGCCCATCAGTCACTTAACCTGTTTGCTGGAGGAATCTGGCTCCCCAGACACCGTTAGTGCCTATTTATTCTGTTTAATAGTGACTGATTCTTTCCAAGTAGTTAAATTAATTTAAATTGCTACATGACTTATTTACCTTGCCCAGCTTTTTGATCCTAATCTATTGATTTCCTAGTTAATTTGTTCTTTAGCCAACTCACTATTTAGCAAGTATCTTGCTAATAGAGACCCTATCCTCCAGATACATTTATTGACCGTATCAAAACAAGTTCCTTCTCTCCGGCTACCGCAGTCAATGCCCTGTAATCTAAACATGCTCCCCTTTCCCATCACAAACTTACTCCATTCCACTGGTGAGCTATCATCTCCTTTCTCTTCCTCCCTGCAGACTCGTTAGTGCCAGTAACAGCAAAAGCAGCCAAAGCAGAGAGTGCTCTCCATGACAGCAAGAAGCCAGCCAAGGAGAACTGTAAACAAGGGCTGGGAGGAACGAGGTACTCTGGTTCTCGGTCAGCTCTGCAGAAAGGAGTTGTGTCCTACAGAATGACACTGGTACTCCCTCCGCACACTCTTCCAAGCCCTTCTTTTTGCAAGATGCGAGCACTTTCCCAGGGCACATCAATGTCTTGCATAAGACTGCAGGAAAACATGCCACTAAAGGAAGTGGTACTGATGAACCAGTGAAGGTTCAAGGCAACATTAAAGAATAGCTTTCTTTAGAACAACTACCAAGCGTGTGGGCCTACAAGCCAATTCTCTGATCTGAGGATCCCAAATTTCTCCTCACACCCGTGCCATTATCAATCTATTAATCTTGCTCTATGCAGACAGATGTACAAGATACCACACTCTACTTTTAAAAGCATCCACCCCTAGATATGTGCTAGAGACTGGTCAGCAAATTACAGAAAAATATCTTCAAACAGTTATTCAGCAACTTAGGGCCACTGGCCACACATGCCCAAGGGATACTACTCAATACAGCCTGGTTCTGACAGATTAGATTCAGGAGATCCTATTTCCTTCATTTGGGGAATAGATTGAGGATTGATCAATAGTAAGAGCCAAAATAATAGCAGCCGAGCCACAATTCTATCCCTGCTCCCAGTGACCACTTACAACGTAAGAAAAGCCAAACCCAGAAACAAGAACAACTTACACCTTATCCAGCCAGTACCTGATGCCTGCAAGCAGCTGGAAACAAAATGCAACCAGGCAACCCGACCTAACAAAGAAGGTTAAAATGATGTCACCATAACTAGAACAGCACCAAGCCATTAAGTGTGCACATAAAAACACAGAAGAAAACCAGGCTCCCAATCCAGTTACCCCTGAAGATAACAAGGAGTGCAATTAAGAGCTGTTCAGTTTCGAATGTCCAGAAGAGAGACTCCTGCACTATTCACACGGAGAGCACCTTTTGCCCCGTTGAGCAGCTAGATCAATGCTGCATTTTAACTTTAGCCTCAAAAACTGCAATGATTCTGCTCTCCCTGTAACTGAAGTTTCCTAAGCTGGTGTCTCCACTCAGAGGGGATGGTGGCAGATGAAGTGTCACCCATGGCTGCAGGCTGATCTGCATAGAGAGCGGGAGCACTGTAACAACATGGCTGTAACTACACTTAGTCCAAAGCAAGAGCATCCACATGGAGAATTATTACTGCTGTATTACAGCTCTGCCGTACTGTTTCCCTCCTCTCTGTGCAGATAACCCTGGTATCACAGGGGTCACATACATGTTTTTGCTGGTAAATGACATCATATGACAGTAAGTTTGGCAGCAAGCACATCCTTCAGAGAAAGTCTTCTTAAGAGATAACACCTATCTGGTATCATAAAAATACACATGGAAGGGAAAGATAAAAAAATTGAGAGGCCAAACAGGGCAGAGGAAGAAGGATATCAGCAGCCAGATATGTCTCCTAAAAACAAATTGGTTCAGAAAGGACAAACTGTCCCACATCTGACTGGTCGTTTAACACCGGAGAATTGAGGCACAGCAAGCAGCAGAACAGAGCACAGCAGCAAGGGGAGAAGGCAAGACCCGAGAGCAGAAAGAGGTAGCAACAGCTTCTGCACAAGAAGCAAGGATATATTTCAAGAGACTTGCAACATGAACTAGGGAAACTGGTTAAAGGCTTGCTCCACATCTTGCCTTTGAAGAGGATGGCCAAGCTCCTGCTGCTGCTTCAAGAAACTTCAAACCTTGTTACACAGCAGCAGCAATGGACTCCTCACATGGGAGTGGATAAGAAAACTCCAGGCCTAAAATCTCAGCTTTGGGGTGACAAAAGGAAACTGCCTTTTCGGTTCTGGAGTACAAAAGCCGTGCTTCAGTCCCCCACATCAGGTCTCAGGTCTTTCATCCAACAACTCTTGGCCTATTTGGCATTTTACTGTCTCCCTCCACTCTCTCACCAGCACACACCATGGTGATTTCTTCTTCTCTCTGCATGTCTACACTTGAAAATTTCTCCCCCCACAAGTGGGCAAACATCAAGTGTAAGAGTTATATGGAAGCAAGGTGCAAACATTCTCCAAGACTTCCCTAGAGCGGCGATGGTCTCTGTTGTGGGTCTCACTGCTCCTGAACGGGTGGCTTACTAACCCTGCTAACATGTTGCTAGACATGGTTCCTAACCACCTCCTATGCCGCAAAGTCTACTAAGTCCAAAGAAAATTAGAGCCTAATACCCAGAAAGAGCTCTCAAAAAGTCAAGTAGAATTTAACCCATTAAGTGATGCCTTGCGTTAAAAGGTACTTTCTGCCATGCTCTGCAATGAGGTCCTAGACCCTCTGGCTCACCCACCAGAGTCCACACCCTCTCCTGGCTGTGTGCAGGCTACAGCTTTAAAGGTGGGTCCTTTGCCAATTGTCTTTAGGCAGTTAACAGCCCTGGTTGTATGTTATCTATGTCTGCAGCTTCACTGGGCAGAATAGAAGCATTGTTCTTTTATTAAAAACCAAATAAACTTTCTTCATTCTTCCTACCCATTTCTGTGGCAGGCACAACCTGCTTGACACACCTCAGTTTGCTGAGCGGCGTTAGCTGAGCTGCGGTGCCATTCCTGCCTCATGCTCCCAGAGCGCAGCAGCAAGCATGCAGCTGGCCTTCCTGCACTTAAAAAGAGGCTTTGAGCCAAGCCAAAAATCAAATTACCTTGTGCTTGCTGTAAATCACAAGCACGCTACTGCAGGTTTGCTAGCACGTGCAAATTTAACTGCACTAACCTCAGATTTGCCAACTGTCCTCCATTACAAAGAAGGATGTCACCATCCTTCTGGCTAGCTGCCAGGGACAGGAGTAATTGGATGGAAAGCCCTGTTCTCCCAAAATTCATTTTAAAGAACTCCCAGTAGCAGATGAACCCAGAAGCCCTGTGGATGTTGTTATTTCAGGCTGCTGTTCAGCTCCCAGGCAGGCACGGGGGAGGTACGCAGCTCTGCCACGTTTGGCCCATTTGGCACACGTTCATCAGACCTACCTGGGAGTTCACAAGACGAATTGTTGTCTTTTGCCCCACATCTTCTTGAAACCCCCTGACAGGAGCCCCATTGAACCGCAAGACGGCATCATGGCTGTCTGAAAGCAAAACAGAGTGAAAATGAGTGAGCTAACAACTGTTTTTTGAGTGATAGAAGAGATGTATAATAAGTTATCTGCTTGCATTTCTAATACAGTCTGGCTGGTCCCTGGGAACTTTCCATGTAACAACTAGAAGTACCAAGCCAGGTTCTGCAGAAGTTGTTAGTCTAACTTCATGACCAATACACTTTTAAAAATCCACTTTTCAAAACTACAATCCGCTGGCCAGCTGAGAACGCGGCCCTAGCATTTGCTCTGCATGGAGGAGCTCGGCGTCTCCCTCCCTCTCCCTCTTCTTCCTTCCAAAGACTTTACCAGGACATAGACTGATATACAGTTAGTTTACCGTGTGGCTGGCCAACAGACTAAGGAACTAGGAAATAATGGCAAGCCAGCATCCTCTTTTGCAGCCCGGAGGTTGACCAGCCTGAGAAACATGTATACTAACTACAGTGGAAAACGAAACTGGCTTCAGCCTGCCAGCGTACCACCCACGTTACAGAAATAAAACCACCGCTGTGCATTTAACAGGCACAGCTTGTTACATGCCTTGGGATTCACTGCATTTTCCTCTGCTGGCATCATCTCTTAAGATAGCACAGCATTCCTCCAGCACCCTCCTCTGCCTTGGCACAGCTGGCCATGCTGCCGTAATGCCATGGAGCTAGGCTGCTGCTGCAGCACAGAGGGCATATGTGCCCATCACTCTGGCACCTCCATACCTACTGGCTAGATTTGGATAGGAAACCTTTTATGTGATGAGAGGCATTCAGCTGCAGGAGCCGGACCGAATTCCCTGCCTTTGGGCCGAGGCCACAAGACCACAGCTCACACCAGCTGTGGCTGGGTCTATGGGGAAGTGCCGAGTCCCCAGCCAGGGCAGAAGGGCTCGCCTGGTCCAGAACCAGCTCTTTTCAAGATAATTTTCTTGAAAACAGGGGCGTTATCACAAGCAATCCTGGAGGATCAGTAATCACTGGCAGCAAAGACTAGTTTCTCAGATATGTTATTCTCGTGGACAAGTGGATCTTGTTTAGAGCCCTTCCAAAGCAACACACAAAACCCAGAAAGGTGATGTTTCCAAAAAAAATGTGTCTGTGCAGAAAAGCAGCTCTGTAGTTACCACTACAGACCCTTAACTCCACATCCTACCTTGCATCAACGGAATACAGGATTATAATTTCCCCACATAGCATTATTACGCCCTAAATTTGCATTCAGAAAGGGTGTTTAATGACTGCACAGGCAGTGTAGCCGACTGTCTGAAGCACTCTGTCTCCAGGTGGTTGTGCTGCACTCGGTATTTCCCATATCAGACTTTCCACTGGCAATTCATAACCTCCAGTAACACCAAGAGCCCAATAAGAGAAGAGCTGCTTGTTTACAAGCTTCTCCCTGTTCTGCTCTGCCAGCTTCCCTTACATTGATTAATTGCTCATTTGATATCTTAACACGATTACAGAGAACAAATATTTCCTGCCCATTTAAGGAATAATAATCCAGCAATCCGTTGTGTTCATCTATGCAAATACTTCATTTTAAGCCCATCAGATGTAGTACCTTCCTGGCACCTTCCTCCAACAAAACCACGGCTTTTCCTACATGGAAATACATCAGGTCAAAACTGGGAAAAAAAACATACATAAATACACTGAGTACTCCTGAATCCATCAGCATTCACCCTGCCCAGCTCAAGGCTGCAAGTACCCAAAACTCTGCACAATCACTAACAGAGGTGACTGCTCGAGCAGAAAGGTTAAAGTCTGTGACCCAGGCACGAGGACTGCAAACCAGGGACGCCAGCAGGGGTTAACGGCATTCGCCTCGGGCACATTACACAGTGACCTTTCCAGCATCCATCCCTTGTGATCTGGAACAAACTGGTGCTTCAGTTTCCGGGACAGGCTCAGAGACGAGCAGTAGGAACAATGAAATGGCTTTCCATGTCTGACGTCCTCTTGGCTGTCCTGCAGCCAGAGCACAGACCATTGCACTTCTTGGCTGCTCCAATACCGAATCCAGTGCTTGCATGGACTGCGTTACAACATGCCATAAACACCACTCTCAGCTCTTGAGAGGGTCTGCTTATGGAGGAGTGAGCAGTTTTATCAGTATGCTGGAGTCTCACAAAGATACCCTTGGGCACAAGCCAGCTGCATCAGAGAGAGTGTTCAACAGAAGGTCACTTCTGTGGAAACCCTTAGCTACTGAACTTAAAGAGGCACCTAAATAAGCCAAGACAGGTACTGAAAGTCAAAATTGGCCTACCTGGCCTCAAACACTTGTAAGAGGTAGAAACAATTAGATCACCCAACTCCCACCTGTAATTTTTACCAGGAGGCAATGCTATCCTGGTTAACAAAACCACCACTACCTTCTTCATCACATCTTTCATAGCATTTTCGCACACCTCAGACTGTTCGACTTCATTTTAGTGCCTGCCCATCTGCCCTGTGGAATGCACACGAGTTTGGGGGTGAACTTTTGAGCAACTACCAGCAGAAAACCCTGACCTTCCCACGAGCATCTGGGGACTACGATTCTGAAGGCTTTGCCCAGGTTGTTCATTAATAAAGTATTAAAGGGCTCTCTACTTGTTTCAGAGGATAAAGGCTACTTCCAGCTTAGTGCAGCCCAAAGGGACCTCGTCCAACAGACAACTTACAGACACACTGAAGTCTGCAAGCAATTTCCATCAGAGAGAACACCCATGGGCTTTAAAACTTCTGCAGTGAAGCTGCAGTTCAGCAAAGTGTGAATCTTTACTGAGCCTCAAACAACAATTAATGAAGAAAGATGAGGGAACTGCAGGCACAGGAGAATTTTCTGCCAGGCACAAAATCTGGAGTTGACAGCTGGAGAGTTGGTTTTCCCTGCATGCTGCTTTCTTAAAGACACAAAAAGCTTTGGTATCAAAACATTCTTCTTTATAATCCACAGTACAAGACCTGTATTTCAGCATCTATTAATTAATGCATTAATCTCAGATAAATACAGTCAGATAAGACTTTCCAAAGCATCGCCAAACTTTGTCTAAAGAAGAGATTAAATAAAGCCCTGTAAACTTTTCCCATGGTCTTCTGGGTCACTCAAACTCAGCCACTGCCTTATGGTTCAGAATGAAGCAGTGCCACTTTTAGAAAGCCATGAGGAAGAATTACAGCATCGTGGTTGGAAGGGACCTCTGAAGATGGTTTGTGTCCAGCCCCTCTGCTCAACGCTGGGTCAGCTAGAGCAGATTGCTCAGGGCTGAGTCCAGTGGGTTTTTTCCCTTCAGTGTCTCCTTTAAATTTTTTTCTGAAGAAGTCTTTCTGAATGAAATATGGCATTACTCAACCCATCACAAGTCCTTTTAAGAAACACTCACTTGAGGAACCAAGACCTCTCCCTGGTATCCAGTGTTAGGCCTACCCTCTGGTGATGCCAACACAATCACGAAAATTGGAAGGACTAGGTGGAATGCTAGCTACCTGCACTTAAGTCATGTCCTCTCAGCTCAACCCAACCCCTTCCACTCCCTTGGGGCTTGGCACTTTTGGTCTACCCAAGGTCTAAGGCTCACAGGCTCTGTGATCTAGGGCATCGTAAGGCAGCCTACACCGTGTGGTGTGTGCACTCAGGGAAGATGGGAGTGTCTGCTCATACCCACATCTCCTCCTAGGCTGTAATGTTCACTAACTTTAGAAGAAGTTTAAGGATAATATTTCAACTTATTTTAAACACCTTTGTGACCACAGCAGAGACTTACTGGTAAGAGTGTGACAATAGGTTACTTCTGTTCGGCGTAAGTTATAAAACAATGTTATTTGAATTTTTGTGAATAGAAAGATACCAACCTATCTCTTGTCCTAAATGAGATGATTTCAGAGACCCTGCTGAGGACACAACAGCACAGCGACCCAGGCGGCCCACTGTTTCATTGAGGCTTTTCCCTGGTAGGTATCGCTGCCATTCAGAGGTATCAAAAGGACCATCCGATCCCTGTATCATGGTCACGTTCACCCTGTCCCGTAGCTGGCAGAGCAGCTTCTCTGGGCTGAGTTTAGCAGTGTTCCTTTTTCCGTTGTAAGTCACATTGTACTTGTTCATGGACAGGTAGTTTTTTCTGACCTTCTGCAGCCTGGGTATGAGATTTCTGGATGAACTGTCCTTATCCCATACCTTCACTGAGTCTGCTGCTTTCTTGGCCTTTTCGCCTGTTCCAGAGGTGCTGCCTTTTACTTTGTTGTGGTTACTAAATAAAGTTTTGGGTATCTGACCCAACTCACTGGCTGCTTCATGGAAAAGGCTGTGTGATTTAAGTGGGTTCCATTTTTCCAAAGTCCTGTGAACCTGCAAATCATCACTCTCAGTCTTGAAAGGAACATAGTAGCTTCTTCTCGTCTCTCTCCACAGGCAAACCGTCAGAGCTACCAGTATCACCACAAGAACACACATTAATTTTTTCAACACATTGATGTGAACCATAGTGTATGGTGCATCCAGATGGGACACTGAACACCGGGCAGGAAGCTGGTCCTGGGAGAGAGGAACACATCTCAGTCAGGGCTACACGCGCAGGTATGCATATATATAAATATCAGTGCATGGGCAATGGGAGGGGAGAGGGAGAACAGAAAGGCAATTTTAAACTTTCAGATTGTTTAAAGATCTCATTTCAAAGTCCACCACTTCAAACATCGAACAGACAGACTTGAGCTGGCTATTAGCCATCGCATGCTATGTAATGGTGATCTAAGGCCACTGCCACTCAAACCATTCCTCTGTTCCCTTCCACGAGTGACAGTCATATTTAACACAGCTACTATCATACCAGCAGCAGGGTAAGTCTCCACTTTGCTTTCCTTCACCTCCCATCTCAGCCAGTAAATATCGAAATCCCACCACTAGCATTTCCAAACTGAGCTTCTACTTGACCATAGGCATGAACAGTAACGAAGCACGTAACAAGGCATATAAATGTGGGAAAAAAAAAAAAAAAGCTGTGAGTTCACAAACACCAGGAGCTTCACTAGCCTGGTACTGACATACTTGGTGACTTCACAGGAAACTTCTGCAAGCCTGCAGCGGGCTGAGTGCACCCCCAACATGAAACCTCACTAAACAGCTGCTGGGAGCCAATTATTCCACAGCAGGGTTTGAGGCACGTTTGCATTCATAAATGCACTTCAATGAACATTACTCAAGGTATGTTACCCCTGGAGAAAGCAAAGCCAGACCTTGTTGTACAGCACTGCCTGTCCTCTTTTGTGCTACCTCATATTAGCGGACACCTCCAGCTCCCATCACATTATAGAAGGGGGCAATTCAATAGGAGGAGTGCCCAAAGGGCAGCTCAAGGGGCTGGTGTAGGACACGTGCTGAGGCATAAACACCTTGTGAGAGGCACACAGGACCACAGAAGACAGGAGGGCAGCTGCTCATTTCCCTATGTGGCTGCTCCAGGATGCGTCTGAGAACACAGAACAGTAGAGGAACAGCAGGTACCCCAGTGCTCCTCAGCAGACAAACACATGCAGATCAGTACCCACCCTAGAGAGGCACCAGTAACAACTCCCTCCTTGAGCAACTTGCTGAAAGCAAGCAGTGCTAAGCTGTGGTATTGAGAAGTTAACTGAGCTACCAACACACTACCTGTGGATAAAGGAGCAGCTCTCCAACTCAAGTCATTTTTGACTGTTGGCAGATTTTCTTCTGAGGGTTTAAGCAGGATATCCCAAAACACAACAGTTCTGCAACGCACTGAAGAGTTCAAGAAACACCTGCAAAAAAAGAGGGGGGGGGGAAACTATTATGGAAGAACTTTGTGGTTCTGGGGATGAGCAAGTATTTCCCTCAGATAAGCCCTCTGATCCCACAAAAGCTGTCACCCAGGCATGGAAAGGCCAGCAGCAAACACATCAAGCACCAACATAAGCCTTTTAAATGCTTAAATGCCCACTCAAAATGGACATCTTCCTTCTTAGTCTGAAATCTACTCCCAGCTAAAGCAGGAACCTGTTCGCAGGCTGCTTGCTCTATGCTCCGACCAGACTGACAGCTTTCTCCACAGAGAAGGCTCTGAGCAGTGGATACACCTGTAATACAGTGAAGGAAAAATCCCAATGCTGTTGCTTTGGGAACAAACAGGGAAACGGAAAGAAAAAGCTAACTTTTCCTAGGGAAATACTTTACTGCCTATTCTTGGGTGATTCATGCACTCCTCCTTAAATGCAGTGGCCAAGAAGACTCCCTGCTCTTTTGGAGCAAGTCAGTCATATGAAAAGTTGCTTTGTAACACACATCTTAATCCACAGGTCTTCATAAAATAAACAAATGCATTTTAGACTTTATAGCTTCACTCTACCAGAAAACGCAGCAAGAGAAAGGGAGACTTCACATTATTATACAATTCAAGGAGTAGCTTGCTTTTGCAGGAACTTTGAACCGTACAATGCCACATAAGCTAAATTACAAATGCTACCCTTCATAGCATTAAATAATAAATTATTAAAGCATCCTAATGCTGACTACTTATATTTTCTTTAAACTCTATTAAGGAACTCAACTTGATTTCTTACAGAGCACCCCACAATCAAAAAGCAAATACTGTTCTACCTCCAGTTCTTAAATAACAACAAAATAGTAATTCTAGCTTTTATCAAAATAATTTCCCCTGCCTTGACAGACCATCTCACTTTTCATTTGCTTGAAAGCTCTAGAAAGACACGCTGAAGTCTTTTTGGCCAATATGGTTTCAGAGGCAGAGGCACAGCAGTCTGGGGAAGGGGGCTGTCAGGAGGGGATGTAGGACATCGCTGCGCTCTCTGCTGTGAGCAAGGTTCCCCATGATGATTACAGTTCCTCTTCTGCTGTGGTCTCTGCAAGATACTCTCACCCCTGCCTCTGCCCCATCCCCTCCGTGGCTGGAGACCCCCGTGGGCCAGCCCGCTCGGTGCCTGCCGAGTGCCCTCAGGAACAGAAAGACCCACATGAAGGCAGGAGACTGCAAAAGCCATTAGCTAAAGGGGAAAGCACAGCTGAGTCAGCCTCTGTGCTGTCAGAGCCTCTGCGGGCAAACCACACTTAGGCAGCAATGTTTTTCAAATTGAGAGAGAAACACCGAAATAGAGCTGTCCAGTGTCAGCTTAGAACAAAACTCTGAGATGCCTCCCCCCATGCAGCCCCCAACCTGACTTTATTCATACTGCATTTCTTTACACAAGATGAAGGTCTGGCTTCCAAGAACCTCAACCAAGATCTTCTGAGCAGGCAGGACAGAGCCTCCACACCACGGGAGGTGCCCCGGCTGCCCCGCCACCCTGCAGAGCAGAGCTCTTCACTCCAGTCCCTGGAGGGCTCTGCCGTGCTTTTGACTTCAAAAAGCCTCTTCCTGAGGGGTTTCCAGGCATAGGTGATAGCAGGCACATCTCAGTACCATCAGCTTTTGTTTCCCACGGCTTAGGATAATCTAGGGGAGTGGCAGGTTCATCGTAGTGAAACAACCTTATACAGCTCATTTCAGGTTCTCGCTGGCACACTCCTCCTGATGCCACAAAGCAGAGGTTGCCCAACAAGTCACAGCACCTCCTCCACTCCCCGGGCTACACAAAGGAACCTAGAAAACTCACCTTCAGCACTCAGCACAACGTGATCCCTGCTTTTGATGACTGCGCATGCTGCTACAACATGAACAGTTATTTTGGTTTGATTTGTAAGTTGACAACGTAGGTTCTGCAAGCAAGTATATTTTAGCAGAGCCACAACATTTCAAGGTACCTTTTGTTCACCATGGATTCAGTACCATTCAATTATTACTACTACTACTTCACATGATATGTATTTTATTTGCACAAGTAGTGTCCAAACATGAGGTCCCTTCTCAAGCATTCTGCCACCGAACTTTCTCTGTGGAGCACAAAGGCAGCTGCTCTTCCAGGCAAGGTAGGATAGCCCGCAAGTGCTGCTCTCTTTCCACACCTTTAGATAAGTCACTTGTGTGCGCTTCTGTATTGCAGCAGTTAGAACAAATGTGCTCTTCTGTAGGTGACAGAAAGCTAGCACCTACACAAAGCACAAGGTCTCGGCTATGAGTACTAAGAAAGGACGAAAAAAAAATCCTTCATAGTTGCTGCCTTCTCGAAACCTAGAGCCTGATGCGGCTGCGGAGTGCAGCACGGGCTGGCTGGCAGGTAGGCGAAGTCCCCACAGCAAGTCCTCTGGGGGTAAATTAATCCCATGCGGAGAACAAGTAAGTGATGCAGTATCTTCAAGGCAGTCAGGAAATTATATCCTGTCCACACGCTTTTAAATTGAACCTTTATCGTCCAAGTATCTCACTGGACTCAGGTCTTAATTATCAAAGTACAGAAGAGTGTGAAAGTCCTGCCGCCTCTCGCATCCCAGACGCTGCGGTCCACCCGGGGAGCTCCAGCCAGCAGTGCCCTGGCAGGGAACAGCAGGCAGTCCCCATTTCCACAACCCACAGCAGATTTACCCTAAGACTGCTAACAACAGTGTCTTTACCTCATTAAACAAGAAGTCTATCAAGCTCTTACCTCTCTCCTATAGTGACTGACAGCAGATACACAGAGAAAACGCATATGGACAAATGTATGAATATATTTGTCTTCCAGTAAATGCACACAGCTTCTAAAAAGCTCTGTCAACAGCTGTACCAATGCTCATCCTCTGCACATTTGTTTAATTGCTTCTTGAAACCACTAATTTCCCAAACAGCCCAAGGCATTGAATTCTGCCATTACCCAATCACATCGACAGTAATCCTTCTGCCTTCATTTTCTGTACATCGTTCATGGTTGCAACCATCTCTCCTAACACCCTCCTCTCCCCACTCATTGCTTTTCCAGGCTGAGTCCCACTTGTTCCAATCCCTCCTTGCACAGCAGCTTTTCCATACCTCCAAGTCTCTTGGTCAACTTCCCCGGCACCGTTTGCAGCCCGTGAACATCCCTTGAGGCAGGCACACCGGGACACTCCAGCTGTACATGCTAAGGCCACGTGGTCTGGCAACAACATAACAACAGGGCTGCTTTGTTCTCCTGCTAAAACTTCCTCCACTTTTATTTCCCTTCCCGACCGTTTCTAAGCCCTGAGCTCTAGGCTGTCAGTAATGACTTCAGGATATTTTGCAAGACGCACTGACTCACTGAGAGCTGTCCCCAGGACAGGGCGGAGGGCAGGAATAAAATACAACTAAAGAGCATTATCTTACCCCTGCTAGCACAGGCTTCCTTTGCTGTAGCACTGCCCAGCCACCCAGGATCGCCAGATCCTCCTGAAGCTTTCTCTGGTCCCAGCCAAGCCCATAACCTAGCCCCTGTTCCTCTCCTTTGCAGATCCGTTATCGCTGCTCAGCAGTGGAGATCTCGGAGCAAATCCCTGTGGGACTTCTGTGGTGTTGTGAAACCTGACCGCTTGGTTTCCTACCCGCTAGGCAGTCACTAATCAGGACAGGAACTTTCTCATCCCATGACAGCTTAGTTTTGTTTTGTTTTTTTTTTTTTTGCCTGAGGCTCTTGGTGAGCAATCTCACCAAACCCTTGAAAATTCAAGCATGCTGTTTCCCTCTCTCCAGGTTCACTAACTTCTAAAAATGAGAGAAGAGGAAACAGGCAGATAGATTTGAAATGTGACTCTTCTGAAAACAGATGATGAGACTTCTCCATTAATTCTTACATATTCTACAGGAGCTAGTTATTTTTATTACGCTTTACTGGTCTGAAGCAATGGATCCCATCAGAGTCCCTCTGACATGCAGCCATGTCAAATAATACCTCTAATTTAATTTAAACGATGATTTGAGACCTGCAACCCCTGGAGATGGGCGCAGGCGGAGATCACATCTACCTGTTCTACTTACGCCTCTCCTTGGTCGCTGCGTTCATACATCAGGATCATTCATCTGCAGTTTTCTTGCCTCTCATGTATGCACAAAATCTTTTTACTTTAGCAAGTTGTTCCTCAGTCTTTTTTTGGGTAATGTGATAACGATTTCATATTTAAACTTACAGCATTTACATTTCTTTCCAGGTTTCCTTCATTTATGCATTTCCATCTGTACCCACAACTGTGCCGTACCTAGAAACAAAGCAGTAAAGCTTTGCTCCCAGCTTTTGCTGGTGTATTTTTGAATGTTTTTATGCTCCCCCATATGAACATTTTATACTTCAGCTACACCTTTTTATTCTTCTTTTGTACATTCTCGGTACTAACCCTTTCCTCCACCCAGCACCCTCTGTAAAGCTCCTGTGAAGAGAGCAGTGGCTAGTAGCAGAAGCAGAACGAGTTCACATGAAAGCATGTGAAAAGAGGATACCCAAAGAGGAAAGACATGGAGCTGTAGGGCAGGAATCCCTCCATTCAAAATAAAATAACATACCCAAGGAAAGTGAAGAGGAGAAAAAAATGGGATTTGAGAATTAGCCTCAAATCCACATCTACTCTTAAAATTCCCTATTCCTGTCTGGGCGGAGGGGAGTGTGGGTCAAGAGCCTTTATAGTATTAAGCAAACTATGATCATGCCATTTTGCAGATGAAGAAGCTATGCTTTTCGTATACTCGATACATCAGATGAAAGGTGATAATACATTTGCTCAAGTTAAAGATTTGTCCCTCTGGAGCCGAGTTTCACAAGATCTCTCTGATACTTTCTTTAGCCTGGCCTGTTAATTCAACTGCGTATATTTCAATTTTTTAAATATATAAACAGGGAAGACTGGCTTCTTGCAATTCTTGGGTTTTTTCCAAAACATTGCTGTGCTGTGAAAATAAAACATCTGTTGAGCCATACATTTAAGGAATATACATTCCAATACCACCAAACAGAACAAAAAAAAAAAGTGGAGAATGAGGATTTTTCACATGGAGAATGAGGAACATGGTTAAATTTCAGATGTTGTGTTGGGGAGCTATGCAAGTCACTTGCTAATGAAATAAATTATTCCATTAGTCTCACCATCATTAAAAATCTCTGCATGTGCCAGAAAAAAATACGTGGCTGTCACAGTAGAAAAAAATCCTCCAGGAGAACAGGAGAGGCAGATTTTGGGGGGAGGCACAGGGGAAAGTTTAAGCATGTGTTTCATTTTGGTTTTACGTGTCAACATTGGGCTTTAATAAAGGCAGAAGCCTTCATTTCTGGCTATATCAGCCCTTTGTTCCCCCTCTTTTTCCGAGGTCCTGTGTTGTTTTTGGAGGGCGGCTCTGCATAGCGGCACACTGCCTCCCCTTCTGCCCTAATTAAAAAGCAGCAGTTTTGCTTTCCCTCACCCCAGATGCTCCGCCAGCCACCTGCAGAACCACACAGACACCATCAGCCACCGAGACCCATGGCAAAAGGCGACCCGCACTGCTGCGGCTTCCCACCTCTAGCTCCCGCCATCCTGGCAGGAGGCCTGAACAGCTCTGGCCCAGGACCAGCCCGTACCAGGCCATGGGCTTCAACAATGGTCCGTGTTTGGAGCTGTTGGAGCTCAGATCTAATAAACCACTTCATGTTAGGAAGTATGACATACGTGATGATAAATCCGCTCCGGGGCATCTGAACCAGGTAAGCAATGCAATTAAGGACATGCCAACAGTTACGGCTGTGGCAAGAAGCGGTATCCCCAGCAGCACCCACAGGGCCGAGACATGGTTTTCCCGAGAAGTCAGCCTCTGTCTGCTGTTGTGCTCCTGTCCAGACCAGGAGTGGACACAAACACACACGTGTGAGGACTGTCTTCAACACCAACGCACCGAGAGAGGAAGGGAGGGATTCAGCCAACAGTGTTACAGCACAACCATGCTGCTCTAATAGCTGGTGACTGTAAAAGGGACAGTCCTCCTGTCCCTTTGCCTACCTGTTCAGAGACTGGCATCCAGAGAGGGATGACCTTCAGCTCCGACAAGTGATCACATTACCACCCTTCACTTCAACACTGTCAGGAAAGTGGCTAACACCAAAAAACCTACCTTCTCCTCCTGCAAAGCCACAAGCTCTATTGCCCTGGACCAGCAGTAACAGCCCCTGATCCTTCTGGCTAAGGGAGAAATGGGCTACAGTAGGGGCCTTTGCCAGTGCATGAAGATGGAAGGACAATTTAGCTCTTAGGACAGGAAAAAAATAATTATCAAGGCATGCCATGATGGTGAATACCATATATAATGTGTTTCTTGATTGATGGGTTACTCACCCAGAGGGACAGCATGTTTATGAGCTCCAGAATAAGACCAAACTCTCGGCTGGTGGGACCAGCACCTCTCCATTACAAAACTCCGCTTCCTACCCCACAGACAGATGCCTGCTGAGTATTCTTTGGTAACAGTAATGGGCAGGAAAGAGACCCCACCTGCGTGGGGTGCCAGCATGCCCCAGGCAAGCCCTGGGCTCTGGCAGCTCGGATGCTGTCAGCCACCACAGGAGCTTTCAGAGCACCGTTCAACACAGAAGCCATTTCATGATGGCCACATGCCCACAGCAGCCTCCTCAGTAAGATATCTGGAGACCACTGCTGGTAACAAACCTTTTCAATTTCTAAAATTGTCAGTTTCATGTTCAAATTGAAGAAAGAGAAAAGAAAGTGCATCATACCATGCATGAACAGCACTGCTTCTCCGTCCATACCCAGACCACCCCCAGTGTCATGATTTTACTGAGTGAGGTCTTCATTATCAGTCAGCTTTATCATAACCATTCCCATGCTGAAGCCAAGAGTAAAAATCCACACACACACACCAGCTTTAAAACCAGGATGCAATCATTAATTTAGGATGATTTACTTTACATGGAACATTACACCTTCAAATCAAACAAATCACTTCTTCGTTCCCCCCAATCATGTGTTTCTCTATGATGTTTATCTTTCAAAATGAGAAGGAAGTGCTTCTTTATTTTAAATTAGCAGCATGTGGCAGGTCAACGCTTAATGCCTCTGCAAATACCACTGCGCGCCAAGACATGTAATTGGTATTCCATGGTCCCAGGACAATAAATACACTTTGTGCCAGCTGCAGCTGCGCTACCCTTCAGGATAATATTTCTCTAACACCAGCCTTTTGCAGGTGGGAGCGATGTCCTTCTGTCTCCTCAAGGACAACACAATAACTCTTCACAACTTGCTCAGAGAAAATATAATTCAATTTAACCTAAGACAGTGAAATAAACTTGCAGAACTGTGCATCTACCATCACTAGTTTTCCGTCCAGCAGCACTACTGAGATTTGGTTTTCCTATACGTACCCAGAGCTCATCCCTGTTGAGGATGGCAGGGCTGGCACTCAACAGCAGCACTCCACCACGCCAACTTCACTGGAGGACAGAAGTAAAATGGGAATTCTGGCCACTGACTTCAGAAAGCACCATTCAAACCCTTCTATGTTAAGCAAAACACGTCTTGCACTGCATTTAGAATAAATTGGTTCACTAAGAAATCCATACTTTATAGTGTAAGAGACACATACAGACAAGAGTGTTGATCAAAAAATACCAGGTGCTGAGAAAAAAAGGCAAGTCCCTACGGCAAAAAAGAGAATATTAGAATGGACACCCATTAGAGCCCATCAAAGGAACTAACTTTCAGAGAAATTGTAAGAAAAATGATTTAACAAGCACTTCAATTACTTACCTGGCAAAAATCAAAATAGTTCCTTTCTATGCAAGGAACTTGAGGCAAGGAAGACAAATGGAAACACCAAAATCACAGCTGTTTTGTCTCTGACAGAAAAGGAGGGGGGAAAAAAACCCACATTACAATAACCAGATGTTTTTCCACAAACGAAAAACGCTTGCTTTCGCTCCCCCTAGCCGTGGTGTTAGATAAGCTAAATTGATACCACTTCTACCACACATCAGCAGTTCCTCTGGTTAAACCAAGACCAAGATGACCCGAGGAAAGCTGGGTCAAAACCAACACAAGCTGTCAAGGAAGCGCTGGTCCAAGCTCAGCATCAGGCTGCAGCAGAGCAGCCGAGGTAGCAGATATGCAGGAATCCATATACTCCAAAGTCCCGGATATCGCTCATTGTTGAAGCAGCAGCCAGGATCTCAGAACTCAAAATATTTGCAGTAGCAGATGTCAAACACACATTTTGCCAAGGCACCTCAGCAAGTCACGTCCTCACCAGGGAGCTCTTGGCATGGCTGGACTTCAGACGTTAATAACAGCAAGCTCTGCTCTGTTTTTTAAACACAAGTCTGATTTATTCATCTGCTAACACTATCCCCTTGTAGCATCATTTCAAATGTATCTACTGTCAATAAGCCCAGAACAACGCATCACTGGGAAAGTGATCTTGCGTGAATAGAATTAAATTTTATGAATCATAGGCAATATAAATGTATAGCAGAAATATGGGCGCCTTGATATATTTAAATACACTTAAAGAGCTTAAGACACTCCTCCCCCCTCAAAGTTTCACATATGTATTTATAAAACCAGAAAACATTAATGAAACTTTCCCAATAAAGCCTTCATTAAAAATCTCCGTGCTATTTTCTTTCCTCAGCATTCCCCCCACCAGACGCTTAGGAAAGGAAAACAGGTTTAGTGGTACCTCCTACCTAAATCCAAGATGTCTTCTGCTTAAGCATCCCGCACAGCGGATGCTTTGCAGGAGCAAAAAGATGCTTTTTAAAATGGCATGCAATGCCCACTC